CTATTGAGAAATCAGCTGACAGTCTAATGGGAGCTCCATTGTAGGTAACTTTCTGTGTCTCTCTTGCTTCCTTTAAGATTCTTTCTTTGTGTTTAATGTTTGCCATTTTTATTATGGTGTGTCTAGCTGTGAGTCTTCTGGGGTTCATCTCACTTGGGACTCTCTGTGTCTCCTGGACTTGTGTGACATTTTCCTTCACCAGTTTAGGAGAGTTTTCTGACATTATTACTTCAAACATTTCCTCTATTCCTTTCTTTGATTCTTCTCTTTTAGGTACCCCTATAATACAAATGTTGTTACATTTGGTATTATCCCACAGCTCCCTTAAACTCTCCTCCTGCTTTTTAAACTTTTTCTCCATTTGCTGCTCTTTGTGGGTGTTTTTCTCTACCTTGTCTTCCAAATCGCTGATTTGGTCTTCAGCTTCTTCTAATCTACTAATGAATGCTGCTAAGATATTTTGCTTATCAGCTATGTCTTTCCGTATTTTCTCTTGCTTTTTATATATAGCTTCTACCTTTATACCCATTGCTTCTACCTCTTTTTTTCAGCTGAAGTAGATTTTAGTGAACTCTTCATAATTCTTATTTGGGGTTGTAGTTCTCACCAAATTGTTTGAGCACCTTATAATCATTGCTTTTAATTCTTTTTCTGACAAGTCGCTCTCTTCTAGTTCCTGTAGATCCATGTCTGGTGGCATCTCATCTTTTTTTCATTTGGGTGTTGTTTCTTTGTCTCACCATTTTAGCAATGTGGAAGAACTAGGCTTGGTGAGGGATGTTAGAATATGTAGGCAGGTCAGTGTGTATCAATGAAGGCTACTGTGCCTTTATGCCTGTTCTGCTGTACAGCTCTTGTCTGCTGTGGGTCCTAAAGCATTGACACCTGGCAGCTTGAATTGATCTCTTGTGCTGTTCTTGGCTCTCTGAAATTCTCTGCTGCTTGGGCTGGGGCACCACTCTTGATCAGCTTTTGTTGATACTGCTGGGGATGGGTCTTCACTGCTAATATGTGCTCCTGCTGCTGGGGGGTGTGGGTTTGTCTGGTGCCCTGCTAAGATGTGGAGACCTGCTGGTATGTTGCTGAGGAGTGTGGGTTTAGCTGTTGTCTTGCTGGGGTTTGTGGATATTTTTGGTATACTACTGGGGTTTGTGGGTATTACTTGTGCACTTCTGAGGTTTGTGGGTCCCTCTGGTATGCTTCTGAAATCCAGGGGTCTCACTGGTGTACTGTTGGGGAACCCTGCTGACCATTGGGGCTCAGCTCCTCATCAGTAGCTGCTGAGGGCAAGTGTCAGCTCCTGATTTGCACTGCTACTGCTGCTGCAGCTGCTTCCCTGGGGGGCTCCCTGGTCCCAATATTTTAGTGGTGTTGGGGGCTGAGGATGCTCTGCACCAGAGATTTTGCTGCTGCAGAGGGGAGGGGCTCCAATCTAGCTCCACTGCTGTAGTGGTCACAGCAGGTCCTGCTGCTTGGTTTGTGGCATGGCTCTTGATCAGTCTATGCTGATGTGCTGCTGTAGGCCTGGAGCCTGGTGTCTGGGCTGGGCCAGCTCACCAGTGCAGGCTTCTGGCTTGGAGCCTGGGCTGGCCCAACCACAGCGGTGAGCCTGGGTCCTGTGGTGAGTGCATGATGCCATGGGCCTGGTCCTTGGCTTTGGGATAGGTGTGTGCCACTGTGGCCTGGGTTCTGGGGTGGGTGTGTGCTGCCACTGGCCTGGGTCTTTGGCTGGGGGCATGCAACCATGGGCTTGGGTCCTGGAATACCTTTGCACCACCACTGGGCAAGAATCTGGTGCCTGAGTCCCATAGCACCACAGCTACAGGCCTGGATGAACCTCAGCTGCTGTAGGAGTGGGGCTGGCTCCCTGCTGGTTTTGGCTACTGCTGCAGGCACCTACTCTGTGCTGACTGTGCCAACAGAGCTGCATTCACTGGACAGATGGTGCAGTGAGCTCTAGTGCACTCAGGTTGTTGGGCCCTAGCCCCTTTATTTCCTCCTCCCTGTGAAGAATCCAGATCCTCCAATACAGCAAGGATGCCCGGCTGTGGTAAGAAAAGTTTACTGGCTTCCCACTTACCACAGAGCCTTCTGCTTTCCATGCACAGCAAAGGAACCTTCTGCCCTGTGTCTCTGCACTGCTCAAGGTTGGTGCATGCTTACATTCACTCACACTCTGTCTCACACTCTTCCCCACTCCCACACTCTCACATATCCACCCACGCACTGGTACTGCCCATCGCTATCTTCTATTTTATTTATTTACACATTTTTTGAGAAATACAAACTTTACCTGTATGTTTTCTGTTTTATTGAATTTATAGGAGTGATGCTGTTAGTACATTTACATAGGTTTCAGGTGTACCATTCTGTCTTATTTATTTGGACACTGTGCTGTGTATTCACCACACAAAGTCATGTCTCAATCCTTCCCCATATTTAAAAGATTACCTTACTGTTCTCCACCTCTTACTCCTCTGCTGCCAATAACTCCTCTACTTCCTCCTCCTCCTCCACATCTCAGAATTCTTGTATCACCTCTGTTCCAGGAAGAAAGAGATGACCTCCATCAATCACCTTTTTGTAAAGATGGCTTGTCGGTTTGCTCTACTGGACTTGATTTTTCATCAAGACACTGAAATGATTACACATGACACAAAAACAACCAGGAGCTCAAGGTTCTCTGGAGCATCTTGAGCTTGCAGGACCTTTAGGGGCCTGGCTCTTGCTTCTGCAGTAGGTACACAGGAGCTTGACAAAGAGAGGCTGACACCATAAAACAGGCAAAGAGGGGAGCTACTGGGCAACTTCTACCCACACTTCACCATACATTGATGATTCCCAGTGCCACCAATTAAATTTGACACCACAGTTCTCACAAACCACTCTCTACTTTCACACCCCAGGCCTGCCTCTTTCCACACTACACTGTCACACCTTTTGAGATCTTATTACCCAAACTCCTATGTGACACCTCTAATCTAATTTGCACACTCCCACGTGACATCCCTTGATTGCAATCCCCACAATTGACCCTGAAACCTAGGAATGCTACTGAACATGGGTTTCACTGCCCACACTCTACTCTGATACCTTCAGGACTGTCACAGCTCATATACCCTTGTCACAACTCCAGGCGGCCCACTGTTCTCTCACTTTTCTGACACCCAGGGCTCCCCCTACCCACACTCCATGGTGAAACCACAGGGTTCACATGGCTCTCTTACACTGTGATCCTCGGCACCCTCAGTGACCTCACACCTCTGTGACACCTTTAGAAATGCCCTGCCCACATTCTACAATGCCCACATTCTCTGCTATAAAAGCCCACATTGCACAGGGCATTTCCCCATCGCACGCCTATGATTCACTGTGACATCTCCAGAACTCACTCTGCCTGTCACGCACTGTGACATTCCAGGTTCCACACTGCCCACACCCAACAGTGATCCAGATGCTTTCCCTCTGCCAACACCCTGCTGCAATACACCAATGATGTCACTGCCCAAACCCTACTGTGAAACACTAGGGCTCCCCGGCCTACATCCCAATTCAACTCAAATGGGCTCCAACAATTGCCACTCCTTGGCAAAACCCATGGGCTGCCACTGCACACACAGCAATATGAATCCCAGGGCTCCATTGCCTGTACTCCACTTTGCCACCACAGGATCCCCATGACATGCATTGCACTGTGAACTTGATGGCTCACCGTACCCACATTCACCGTGGAACACATGGCTCACATTCACCATACACTAAGTTGAAAAGTTTGTTCATTGTGCACAAAGGACTGGGAAACCCTAGAAGCCATTGGCCTTCACTGCTCTGGAATATTCCAGGACTCAGACTCACAATGGCTTCAGTATAATCTGCAACTTTAGTTGCCCACTCTCCTCCCTCCATGTTGATATTTCTGTTGCCCACTGTACACATTCCACAGAGACTTTGATCATGCACACTACTTCATCAACCTTAAGATTCCCAAGCCTGAACCAAATTGAACTCCACAACTGGAAATTCCAGCCTCATTGTGTGCCCCGATTCCCTGATGACACAGTTTTATTCCTTCATCACTCAGTTTGTCCAGGTGAGACACCAATGTCCAGAGACTGGGAAACATAGGGTTGAGTGCATGGCCAGGATCTCTTCACATGTCTTCCTCTCTCTCCAGTCACCCTGAGCCATTGTGTTCACATAGTATTCAGGGGATGGTGCCACAGGTCTCGCTCCATTGAAGATAAACTGAAAAATATCCTCGATAAGGAATAAAGTAATATTAATCATCATCATCATCATCAATAGCAGCCAAACAGGAAAAGGAGGTCCATGCTGAAACTGGGACCTCTGAAATTTTCTGCAGTCCTATGTTCAACACATTCCATCCTAACCTCTTTATAATAAACACTGTTTTCACTGGGCCGTACACGTTTGGGACACCCAAGGATTGTGCAAAACAGCTGTGATGTCAGGAGAAGAACTGGGGGAGAAACACCTTTCTATAAAAAGACAGCCAGCTATTTGTGTTAGGATGGTAGGAAGAACGTTTTGGATGCAAGCATCTATTTCTGGAGGAAAAAGTGGATGATGGTGGTGGTGTCCTGCAAGACGAGTTTCGAGAAGTGAGACAATGACTGTGCTGTTGTTTTGAGGGTTATCGGATACCTTCACTCCCTCATCTTCCTTAAGCTTCCTCAACAAGTGTCTGAATGGCAACACAGTTCTCCAGACTTCCTATATCATCATGATACCCTCACGACATGAGTGCACAGCCTCTATTTCTCCCAGTCTAAATGTGCCTTTAAAAAAAAATGTCCCAGCTACTGGGCAAGACAAGGTTCAGTGCCCAGTTGAAATTTTCTCACCTGTCCAGCTCCTTCTCTGCTCTCCTGGAACGTTCCCAGGCATAATACTTCAGGGTTTGTATCACAGGTCTTTTATGATGATCTGGTTGGAAAGAACACAGCTGGTTAGAATAAGGCTAGAATTTGAATGTCAAATCAAGCAGCGAAAGGAAACACAGCAGCTTCATTGTGGCATTGCAGGTGAGACCCCACCTCTGCAATCCTGCTGGACCCTACCACGTTGTGGTTGGAGAACCAGTTGGAGAAGTTCAGGCTGCTGTTTTGGTGCCAGTGCCGGTAGACCTCTCCTTCATAATGCTGAGACCACTGAATGGGAGTGCAGTGGGACACCCTGTATCCTGCAGGAAGATGTGTATGTGATAATACATGCATGCCCTTTTAACCTCAACCCACCTCCTGTTGCCACCCATGCAGGCAGCCTCCTCTTACCTTGGAGGGTAATGAGATACTCCTTCACAATCATATTACTGTAGAAGTAGGGGTTATTGTGAAAGAACAGCAAAATTTTGCAGGAATCACTGACGTGCCTGACTTCCTCCACCTGTAGAAAAAAGTGTATCAAGAGGGTGAAATTTGTCTTGGGGACACACGCCTTCTTCAGTAGGCAAGGAAAAGGTCAATTTTCCACTTCTACTCCCTCCCCTGTCTCTGTCAGTCTAGGCTGACCTTCAAATTGATCATGTGGCTGAGCATCTTTTCATCTTGCTCACAGATCATGGCTGACTGCTGAGGGTGGCTGACAAACTGCTTTGTATCAAGGAGCCTGCATACTGCATTCTGCACGTAAAATGCCTAGAAAATGGGCCAGAACTAGGGAACGGCCTTGCTTTTCCTGAATTCTCTATGCCTCATGCCCCCTCTTCCACACAAGTCCAAAAGGAACACAGTGGCTCTTGCTGCCTGCAAGGATCAACACCAACACAGGCCAGATCTCTTGCCTGGCACACCCGGATCTCCACCTGATCTTTTGTGCTGCTGGCTGGACAGAATACAATATGCTTCCTTCTGCCCACCCCATTTTCCTGACTCTGATTCAGGAGGTACACATTCAGACCCTTCCACTGCAACAGTACTCCTAGGAGGAACTCTGCAATACATATATACCTGCTCATTTCCTGAGTCTAATGTGGAACGAAGCCCCTGACTGTTTCAGCATGCCACCCAAGATAAGGACATCTCCAAGGTTTGAACCAGACTTAGGTCTCTATACCAAGTTTCTCTGCAATGTGTCTGTTTTGCTTCTGAACTGTCCTCATTGATCCATTTCTCCTGCACTGGCACAGTCGCATTTTAGACACCCCATTACAGCCTCAAGGATACAGTTTTGGCCCAGAATCCAGGGATGTGCTCAATATGGGTGCTTTTCAGTTGTAAGTAAGGCCTGTGCCTGTGCCATGTCTTGCGCTTGAGTCGGACAGAAGGCCTTGCTGGCTTGCTCATTCACAGGCTCCATCTCTGGCTGGAGAGCCTGGAGCACCGCTAGCGGGGACAAAGTGCACTGCCCACACTGCCCAGACTAGGCTGTGTCCACTCTTCGGACTTCTCTTCTTGCTGCTTTCCTTCAGCCCCTGACTCCGGTTGCCCATCACCTCGCATCTCCACAACCTTCACGATGTCCTCCCAATCCAGCACATTCTGCTTCCCAGCAATGAATTTTTCCTGAGAGGCCGCCACCTCCTCCCCCTGCTCCTCACTTTCTGGAACCAGAAAAACCTCTTCCTCCTTCTCCACCTGCAACAGCTCTCCATGCATCACGTCCCCCTGCCTGCCCGGCTTCAGGTCTGCAAAAATCTCCTTCCCTTCCCCCAGGATGCCACGCAATGCGCCCTGCACCACCTGCCTGAGGCCCTGCTGCTCCAGGACAAAGTGCTGCCCGGACCCCAACTCTCCCTCCTGGCCCCTCTCCTCTTGCCAGGGCTCCTCACACTCAGGTCCCTGCTGATCCTCACCCTCCTCCTGCTCCAAAGCCCTCCTTGGACAACACCTCCTCCTGCCTTCCCAGCTCCATGTCGGACCAAACCTCCTCGCAGGCCGCCAACCCCGCTTCCCTTGTCTCCAGGGCCAACTCCTGCCTGCATCCTGCCCTCCAGCTCCGACCTCCACTGTCCTCTCTGGGCTCCGCCCTCACCTCCGGGGCCTCACCGCCTCCCTGCACAACGTTGGACCTGAAAGGACCCTGCTCAGCACCACTCGGCCCCTCCTCCATGGTGCCAACGCCCCTAGGTCCTGGCTGCCTGGGGGGTCTCGGTCACCTCACGGCCTCCTACAGGGAATGGAAGACCCAAGCCCTGAGGAGCCGGCTGACCCCAAACACAGCCTGACTGGAAAGGTTCCTGGCACAGGCCTGGTGGTTCTGGAAGTAGGTGCTTCAAGCAGGGCGACAGCAGATCCTGCGTGGTCCGCTGCCTAAGTTGCCGCCTATTTCCGGATCCGGGTACTTCCTGGACACGCCCACTGCCTCAGGCGTATGCAAATGAGATTGTGCCAACACAACAAAAAATGGCTGTCCTGCAGGCCACGCCCAGAGTTCTGTTCCCGCCAGTCAGGCTCTGCATAGTCTCTTCCAATCAGAGCACGCTCAGTGGGCGTCACCCCACACAGCCCCGCCTCCTTCTCCCCAGGAGCCCAGAGTCCCTGGGGAAGGCCGTCCTCCCCCCACCCCACTGGCCTTCCCGCGACATCTGCTGTTCACACCGCATCTACCCCCGTTTCCCAGTCCAGGAGTTTCCCGCCTCACTCTGCCCCTGGTCCTCAGGGACCCTGGGAACAGACAGGGCGGGCGTCCTGGGCAGGAGAGCCTCTCCCGGCACATCGGTGGCTGAGGTCCCAGGTGCAGGCAGGGGAAGGCTGTGTCGGGAGGGCCCCGATCCTCCGTCCTGGCAGAGTGCAAAGCTCAGGGGACCCGGACACGGAAAAGACTCCTGCTTCCTCTCTAGTTTCCGTCGTTCGCTCTGCCCTTGGTTTCTGTGCCCTTTGAGGTGTGCCCTTTCTTTCAAAACAGATCCTAAGTATATTACTCATTTTTACCTTCTGTATCTCAGACACAACATAGGTGACCAACAGAATCTGGATCATTGTGATGCTTTCCTGATGGGTCCCCGAGACTAAGTATAGTTGGCTCTTTTGAGAGAGGCAGTGAGAGACACCCTTTCTGCCTTGGGGGACACAAAGAAGCACCTGGGTGTTGTCAGCCGCCCAGAATATGTTCCGAACTGTCCCAGTCGGCAGCTGATACTTTTGCAGGCATTTGCTGAAGCCAACAGAGAGAGTGTAACTGTGACCTCAAATTGAGTTTGGCTGAAGTTGGAACAAGATCTTGTCCAGATTGCAGATGCCAAGCTTGACCACCCACCCCTCACATGCTTCCCAGCTAACCTCAGGCAGAGGACAAGCTATGTCATCCTTTGCATGATACGTTTTTAAATTCTTCCCAAAGAACTGTGCTGTCTTGCAGCAGCAAAATGAGTGTGGGCAAACTGGCACAAAGAAAGGCATGGGAGACTCCTGATCTTGAGCAAAAAGTAAGAATTGCTTCTGTGAGGTCTTCTCTGGGGAAGATTTTTCACTGTTGCTTGACAGGCAAATAAACTATGTTCTTTAGGGGTTTTCTCTACACTTGAACCTCTCATGGGTGTTTTGCTACTCATTGTGTCCAAGGCTTCATTGCTTGGCACACGTTAGCCTTTGTCCCTTCTGTATGACTGATGGATGCAGGCTGCTGCACTGCATGCCAGGAGACATTTATCCAGGACTGCACACCCTACCTGCTGTGTAACAACAGCCCTCTGAGGAAGTAGTCCTGCACACTTGCTTGCATGCTGGCCCCACAGAGGAAGGGTGACTCTGCGTATTAAGTTTTCTCCTTGACACAACCCTGCCCGGGTCTTTAGCAACCATGCCAACCTAGAAAGGACATATCCAATAAAGTAGATTTCAAAATGAAGGCCATAATTAGAGACAAAGAAGGCCACTACATAATATTGAAAGAATCTATCCAACAAGAAGATATAACCTTGGTAAACATATATGCACCCAATATAAAAGCACAAACATGTATTTAAAAACTTCTAGAGGACTTCAAAGGAGAAATTTACAGCAATACAATCATTGGGAGGGTCTTCAACACCCTACTGACATCACTGGATAGATCCTCTAGACAAAAAAATTCACAAGAAAACAGACTTTAAATGATGCAATAGACCAAACGGATTTAATAGATATCTACAGAAAATTACACCCCAAACTATAAAATTCACATTCTTCTCAATTGCACACAAGACATTCTCAAAGATAGACCACATGTTAGGGCACAAACTAAGTTTCTACACATCAAAGAAGACCGAAATCATATCAAGCACCTTCTCAGATCACAATGGCATGAAACTAGAATCAATGACAACAAAACCACACAAAAACCTTTAAACACAGGGAGGCTAAATAGCATGTTATTCAACAATGAATGGGTTACCAAGGATATAAAGGAAGAAATAAAAAACTTCCAGAAAAGCAGTGAAAATGAACACACAACACAAAATCTATGGGACACAGTGAAAGCAGTTCTGAGAGCCACGTTCAATTTCAGACCACATACAGTGAAACCATTTTTGATGTGTGTATGCTGCCACCTTGTGGACATATAAAAGAATGCCTTTTGAATGCACAATACTTTATAAAATCCAGATGTGTTCTTTATAGCTTGATAAAGACACAACATATAACACATTACTAAAATTCATATGTGCTCACTTTAGAAAATTTTCAGTACACAGAAAAAAAGAAAGAAAAAACTGACCAGTGATATCACTCTGCCATTGGTTAAGGATGCTGAGTACCTGAGCAGGGGAGATAGATAAAAGGTATAGTGGTTCTTTCAGGATAAAGTCAATTTGCAGCTCTCTCGGTGCTAACCTTGAACATAGATGTACTGGTTGATTCTTCTATTGCTTACGTATTATCAAGCCACTTTTTTAAAAATTAAATTTAATCCTGTTCACATACTTTGTATCATGGTTCAAGTTTGTTTGTTTGTTTGTCTGTTTAGTCCTCATATAAAATATTGCAATGAACAATTGTTTAAAATATCATCCTCAATTCCCAAGGTTGCAATCCCAGGTCAGAGAACATATAAGAAAGAACAACTGGAAGCATAAACAAGTGAGTGAGAAAAAAAATGTGGTTCTCATTCTCTGTAGGTCAATGTCTCACTTTCTCTCATTTTACATCTCTCTAAACTCAATCAACATATTTAAAAATTGAATCACTGAACTATGTAACAGCGACATTCAATTTTAGACCAAATACCATGAAACCATTCTTGCTCTTTATTTGATGTGCTTATGCTGTTACCTAGTGAAGTTATGGAAGAATGCTCAATGACTGAAGAATAAAATGCTGGAGTATTCTTTACACACTGATATACAACATTCACTTTATTATTAAAATTAATACATTCTCATTGTAAAAAATTTCAAGAACCCAAGAAATTACAATAAATAAATAAATAAATCAACCACCACCTCACTTTGCCATTGGTTCAAGAATCTGAGTTCCTGCCCAGGGGAGATAGAAAGATCAAGGTTCAATTGTTTACTCTGTTTGAAGTCAAGTTTTCAGGCTTTGGGTACTAACCTTGAGCTTGATTTTGATATTTGATTTTTGCTTTGCTCACCTATCACTAAGTCTCTTTTTTTAGGAAAGATACTAGAAAGTTGACTTGTCATATACTGTGGTTGTTCTAAGTTCCTTCTCTCTTCTCCTTCTCCTTCTCCTTCTCCTTCTCCTTCTCCTTCTCCTTCTCCTTCTCCTTCTCCTTCTCCTTCTCCTTCTTCTTCTCCTTCTCCTTCTCCTTCTTCTTCTTCTTCTTCTGGTGTTAGTTTTGTATTCTGTGATTTTTAAAAATGTGTTATGAACACCTTATGAATAATACGTGAATATATATATTCTTGGTGAAAGCACATAAATCTCTCTACAATGCAAATTCAAACCAAGGTTGTTTTCAATAGTACATTCACTTATAAATTTGATGGTTATGTCCCTGGCTGGGTTGCTGAGTTTGTTAAAGAATCATCTCCATAGGTCAGGATTGGAAGTTTGCTCCCTGGTCATGGCACATACAAGAATAAGCCAGTGAATGGTGCATAAGCAGAACAACAAATTGATGTTTCTCTCTTTCCTCATTTCCTCTATTTCTCTTGCTCTTTCCCAAAAATCAATTAATAAATAATATATTTTAAAAATCACTATTGTAACAGCCACGTTCAATTTCTGACCAACTACAGTGAAACAATTTTTGCTCTTTATGTAGTGTGTGTGCTGCCACCTAGTGGAAATATAGAAGAATGATCTATGAATGTACAACAAAATCCACATGGGTTCTTTCCCTATTCATAAAGATACGATCTATAACCTACTAATGTTAATACATGCACACTTTAGAAAATGTTAAGTATGCAGACACAGAGAAAGAAAACCCTGACCAGTAAAATTATTTTGCTATTGCTTTAGGATTCTGAGTTTTGGAGCAGGGGAAAAGAAGATAAAAGGTGCAGTTGTTCTCTCTGTATAAAATCAATCTTAAGCTCTTTAAGAACTAGTCTGGAACTTATTTCTGATACTTCATTCTTGCTTTGCTCACCTATCATCAGGCCTCTTTCTAAAATATTAAAATTTCACCCTGTTCAGGTACTTTGGTTGCTTTAAGGTCTGTCTCTTCTTTCAGGTTTTTATTTATTTTAACACAGTATAAAATATTG